AGCAGCAGTGGTGCAGCATACGGCAGCAGCTCTGTGAACTAAGGAGTGCTTTAATTCTGGGACATGAAATCCACCTCCTCTTTCAAGTCTCGCATCACATGTACTTTCAAGTCACATGTACAATAGGAGAGGGGGTGTCTTTTGTGAGGGTCTGCTGTCCCAAAGGTGCTGCTGGTGGCAGTGTTCAAGGAACAATTTCAAAGCTCAGCTGGAGCTGTTTGCTAGGCGGTGCCTTTTGCCAGCAGCAGCAGGACACAGCCCTGGCAGGATGTGCTGCCAGTCTAATGGGGCTCAGGACACTCCTGAAACATGAAGTAAAACAACCCAACCCCAGCTTTTGTCTTTACTCCCTGGAGATCCATTTCAACTAATAGTAATCTCAGTAACACGGGAAGAAGATTTGTTGCAGCTTTTATCTCATTGCCTTTTTAGGGTTATAGTTCTTAGAACCAGGCCTTGTGGGTTTTGAAGTAGAAATTTTGAATAATTTATTGCAAACAAGAGTTTCATTGTTTTTAGGGAGAATTGCTAACTCAAGATATAAATATGTAAGTTCAAGTGCTGAAAGTTAATAGAAACAAGTAAAATAAACTCTTGGCTGAACTTTTGGCTGTCAAGACAGAAAAAATATTTGCAAAGAAAGAATGAAATCTTATTTCATCACTGTTAGTTTGAAGCAGATTTCTTCCTATTTTGGAGTTCACCAATATACTGTAGTCATGTGCAGTGAGTAAATGATTATTGGATATAGTTTCCTCAGTAATCTGGTAGGAAGAGAATCTAAATAAGCATACATAAGGATGTTTTCAAATTCACAAACACATGGGCTCTTCGTAGTTAAAATTGTCATAAGGTACTTCTGCAAAGAGGCCTTAGTCAGAGCCTGTTTTTTTTAAGGGCCAGAAGTAAGAACAGTGGTCAGGAAATCTGCCATTCCCTGTAGACACTTACTCAGTGAAATATCCCTTGTGCATTTTCCAAACACAGGAAAGAGTATGTTTTCATTCATCCCACAGCTGATGCAAATCCCTTTGCTCTCCCTTCCATTGTATCCATCACTGCTGTCTTCTCCCTCTTTTCAGAAATCTTAATTCTGCCTAAAGCCCAAACACTGTTACTTCTCATTACCCAGCTTTCTAAATGACAGTCACTGACATCTGAAAAAGAGTTTGAGTCTCAGCATCATAGATATTACCAACATGGAGCATCACAAGCCATACCTCCAAAAGCCTTGCTTTTTGGCTTTCTTTCATTTGCATACATTGTATCCCTCCTTTAATTCTGAGTGTATTGAGGTGATGATTTCCCAACCCCTTCTCAATGCCCAAATTAGTAGGAGTGTGTTTTGATTTTATTTTTCTTATAAATACTGATTTTCCACAAAAGCATGAACTTGGCAGGGAGTTTGTGTTCTTAATAAAAAAAAAAATCAACTATCAAAATATTTGAAGTACAATTGCAACACTGGAGATGTATGAAGATCTTGCTATTGTATCTTAATATTAAACATGAATAACAGCCTTTTCAGCCTCTTGAATTCTAAAAAATCTTAGCAATTGGATGTTTTTATGAAAAGATTAGTACCCAGTGTCATTATTCATCCAGCTGTTTTTTCATACTTGCTTCTATACCTGTTTCCTTTTATTTGTCTAACACCTGCATCTCTCAAAAAAATACAGAACATTATTTAAATTAATCTGGGATTTGTTTACTTATTTTTTTTTACTTTTAAAACTAGAAATATCATGTCTGCAGGACTACAGCTGGGACAGTTGGATTGCTGAAGAGCTTCAGTGGGAAGCGCCTGCCTGACCCTGCCCTTCCAGAACTACTGGAAAACCCCAGGATGAAGCAACCTTCGTTGGTGTGTGGTGTTCCTGTGTTCAGAAAGTGTAGCACACTGAAAGCAAATGAACAGAGCCATTAGCAGGAAATGAGGAGCAGACATAGAGACAAAGGCAGAAGGTTTATTTTGTGTATAAAGGTAGGAAATTTATGTACAGGTGCACAATGCAGTTGAGGATACAGAGGTACAAAGAGGAAGAGAGCAGCATTTCTGAGGCCAGGGGATGTTTCATGATGACAAGGCATTAGAGGAAGGAAAGAATTCAATTACAGGGGCGTGTTTTCAGTAATAGTGAACTGATGCCCTGCTAATAGTAGATTAATAACTTGCATATTGCTGTAAATTCATTTAAAACCTGTGTTTAATATTGCATGAACACTCATAGCAAGTGTCTTTTATTCAATATAAAGAGTATTATAATCTCTGTACAAATGGATTCATTTTGTTTTCACATTTTTGATTTAGGTCTAATGTCAGACATACCGTTACTACATTTATTGCTTTCTGCCTTTCTTCAACATTAAGACTGTGATGACATTTTTGCTTAATGTAGTATGTCCTGTAGTGCATATTCTATAAAGTACATAATGGTTCAATTTAGTTATGTGGAAACTGAACTAAAACCAGGGAGAAAATAAAACCAAACCAAACTTCATTATTTTCTTAATTATAGTTATTTAAGAGAAAAAAAAAAGGTTGAACAGCTTTAGTTAGGAGCAGCACTTCTTTTTTTTCATTTGAATTTTTAAAATTTCTTCTTTGTCTTTAGTTGGCATTCTGAAATAGGATAGCTTTCATTTCAAGCTATTTGTGATTAATTTTTAGTTTTTCATTTCAATAATACTGAACTGAGTAGTATTTTTAGCTACAATTAAATGAAAGCTATAGTTTGGAATGAAGCTCCCAACATAAGATGTTATTATTTTAAATTTCCCCACATGAAAGCAATTTTCAAAAACTGTATTTTCATTGGAATTAAAAAATCCAAAATGCAGTCTGGTTTTGGTTTTTTCTCTTTGCCTGTGTTCTGTAAATCCTGGTACTACATGATTGCCAGTAAGATAACTAAACCTATATCTGATAGTATATATAGCTTTGTTTCTGACACGGATACATTAACTTCATCTCCAGTGCATTCCTATCTAGTGTTTATTGATTGCTTATGAAGAAGAAAGGATTTTTTGTTTGCTAAATTTATAAATATATATATATATTTATATATATATATATATATAAATTATTTATAATTATTTTTAATAAGAGTTTAACAGAAAAAAGTTCCCTAATCATTTTTCAGGTATAATAAAGCCAGCAAAGAAATTATCCTTGTGTACAATTCTCATAGGTAAATACACTGTGATTAATTTTCATACTAAGGCTGATGCTAAGAACAGGAATATGTGAAAGGGATGAATCATAATTTTTTTTCCCCAAATGTGCAAAAGTTTCTTTAGATTTTTTCCTCTCCCATAAAATAGGAGTTTTTAACAGCAGGAATGTTGCTGCATTTGTGCCCCACAGACTTGGGGGCATTTATGAAAGGTGGAAAATAAGTCTTAATAGTCCTGATCCACTGTCTGATCCATATCCTGCTGTGGCAGAACAGAAACCTTAGCATTTCACTTAGACACATTTCAGGGTGTCCTAATGTCACTGGAGATTTAAAGGGGGAATTTGCTTTCCCTGAATGCACCAGGTCCAACCTGCAGCGAGTTAGGGAGGACTGATGAAGGATCAGGGTCAGGTTTGAAGTGGGGGAAACTGATATCAATGATTTGAAGGACTTCTCCAAAAGATAAATTGTTCCCTCTGGAGTCACAAAACCTCACAGTCTGGTGTCAGTCTTCCCTATAACTCTGCTACCTGCCATATAGCTGAATAACAAAACACCACCCTATATACACTTATTGTTTCAAATCCTTTCTCGAGGATATTATTCAAATGACGAAAAGGGATACAGAATCTTTGCAAATATAATTAATGAATGTCCAAATAAATTATTTCACCATTCATAAATGGGGTTTTTGACTTAAAGAATTATTAAAAACCCCAAAACTCCTCACTTTTTACAAATTTTTAGTATTTAACAATGTATTTCAGTTGTGTCTGCACTCTCAAAGGCAACTACAAAGATATTTTACTATAATATTTTTCCTAAATCTCCTGATGCTCAAAATTTTCAGGTCTCTTTTTGTCATTCTTTTAAGAATCCATGGACAGCTAACCCAATTACCTTGCTTGCTTCTTAAGAAGGAAAAATCCCATCTTTTTTTATCTGATGACACCGATTTACTAAAAAATGAAAGAGATTTACTTTAAGTTATAGAAATCTTTAAACAAACAACAAATCTGTGATTTTCAACTATGAGATACTTACTGGGCCTTTCTTTAAAGGGGAAATGTTGGTAAAGATTAAGATTTTTTTTTAATCTCAATATAGTACTTTGGAGCCGTAGAGGCTACTGGAGCAGAGGATCGGGATTAATGATATCAGTGCAGGATTGACACTAATTCAAATGTGTGTGAGAGCCTCCTCAGCATGTTTTCAATTGCTAATCCAAACCATTACCTAATTATCCAAAAATATCCTGCATGATTTCACAGGTATGAGGCCTAACTGTCAAAGGAACAGCAATAGTGTGTGATGTAAAGAGAGTGACCACCTGTAAGATTTAATTTAAGATTAGAATTACTGAAGGCAGTGAATCTTTACCTCTTTGCAGTAGGGTCTGAATGCCACCTTCAGTAAATGCTACAGTTGTGTTGCCTGTTAGTTGTCCCACTGTCACCCACTGGCAGTGTCCATGTGGTGAAATGCTCTGGTGAAGGTGGGGTGTACTCTTTAATATGTTAGCATTTGTTCTAAACCTAAATTGTTTAACTAAACCAGATCTGAAGTGATTCATAGAAAAAACATTCAAAGAAATATTAAAAAAAAAAATTAAAACTCTGATATTTGTATTGCTTTGCTAAGCTGGTTAGTCAAGGCATCTTCTGCTGCAGTAAAACACAAAAGTTTTAAGACTGCTCAATAGTCTTCCTGATCACCCCACTCGACTGCTGGCTCATCATCCATTCGTAGAATGAGATAGGAAAGAAGCTGAAAGAGATTCTGCCACAAGAGCAAAGAGACAAAAAAGGAGAGGTCGCTTACATCAATCTCACAGCGGTCTCCAGCAAAGTTCACGTCACACAGGCAGTGGAACTTGTTGAGGAGGTTCTGGCAGAGGCCCCCGTTCAGACATGGGTCAGAGCTGCACTCATCAATGTCCTTCTCACACCTGGAGGAAAGACTGCAAACAGTCAGCCTCTGAAACCAGGCATCAAATGCATCAAATAGGCACATTTTTAATTCAGAAACTTTGTGGGGTCAGGGAGAGGAAGACGGTTAATGGTGCCTAGCAAAATGTAATGCAAGATTTCAGAGCCAGCTCTCATGCAAGTCCTGCTGACAGCTTGCTTGTCCTTTTCATTGTTCCAGCAAGCTAAGGACACAATTTCCTTCTCAGTAATCTGGATATAAGTCAGACAAATGTGTGTTTTTCCCAGCTGAGTGCTCCTTTCTATGGGGGTTGGGGGGGGGGGGGGTGGTTAACCTTTTTATTTCTTCCCTCTATTTGGGAAGAAATCCCAAATATCACAAATTATCCCGGCACAATTTCCTATCCAGTCTCTCTAAAACGGGCCCCAAAAAAGGTAAAAATGGTGCAGGAGAGACTTAAGAAGTCTTCTAACTTAAGAGTTCATAAGACTTGATATATATCATTAAACGTTTTTGAGCTAATTCTGGTGATACAGGAAATTTGAGTTATAATTTCTCAAGGCAGCCAATGGAAGGATGATGAGGGATGTGTAAGATTTTCTGAAAACTACTGATTTGGTGATTTTCTGCTCTGACAATGTGCCCTTTTAATTCCCTGCTCCCTTTTTTAAATTAATGCTAACAGTTAATCCTATTTTTCCAGGTAAAAATGCGGGTTTATACTTGGACAAGAATGTGAGAAATTCTCTCTCAGTTACAAGGAATTGCTTTTTTCAATCATATTCATAACCAAGCAATAAGATTTTAATCTTATATCAGAGAAGAGCATTTTTTATATTAAACACTTTTACTCTATTAATCTAAGCTTCTTTCAATAGCTTCCTTAAATTATATTCATATATTTCAAAGAGCTAAGTTATTTATCCAATGTATAAATTATCCAATGTATAAGAATTATATAGCTATGAAATTGCCTATGCAAATTTAAATAAAAGCCAACAACCTCTCAAATCTTCCAGGGAATCAGGTATCTGAATCCGAGTTTCAGGAACACTTAAAAACCTGATTGACAAATTTTTTTGAGAGAGAGAGCTCTATCTTCTTTTATGGAGATTATTCTTTACACATTTCCCTTTCCACTTGCTATTGAGACCATGGGGCTTTTTTTTTATGTGATCCCAAGTGAATTGATTGGCATAGAATTTCTCTATACTGTGCTTTCTGAGGGCTGAATTATTGTCTTAAAGAAAGATGCCTGCTTCATTAGTCTAATACATAAATATACAAAAGGGTTTGGTTTTAATTTTCTTATTAACTGAATTATTTGAATTTGTTCTGAAAAAAGAAAAAAAGAAAAATAAAAGAAGGGATGAAATGCTCTCATTTGATCTAGTGAGACCTCCAAGCTTGGAAGTGCTGCTGGTTTATAGTTTGGCAGCCTGGAACAGAGGCCAAATGGTCCATTTCAGAGCCTGGAGAGGAGTGCCTGGCTGCCACAGCCAGTCACGGTGCAGCTCCCTGGGCACAGGGCTGCTGCTTAATGTGAGAACCTTGGGAACCGTAAAAGAGAGATTGCCAACCAGCAGGATGGATGGAAGGAAGGAAGGAAGACTCGTTCCCAAAGCTGCAGTTAGCAAGTAGGCTGGCAGGGGAAGGGAGAAGGAAAATGTGCTTTCCTGCCACCCCAAAGTCCCAAGAAATATGCAGTGCAGAAGTGGCTATGAATACGCTTTAACTTCTTAAAATTTTATTGTATCCTTTCCCCCTTGTTGAATATTGTGAGGTGGTACACAGGCAACCTAGCTGTTAACAGTGGAATTCAAGTGTGTCTGCCAACTACACTGTGCATTGAGTGGGTGGAAATCTTCATTTCATGTCTTTTATAGCCTACTGTACTCCTTCCACAAAATCAGTGGCCTCGTAAGTTTTTTGAGAGAATGAAAACCTTTTGCTGGAAACTTCTCTGTTACAGCTTAGTCCTGTTGAACTTTTGGATATTATACTCTGACATAATGCTAGTTTCACCAGGAGTATGTACAGTTTTTCTTGTCTCTCTATCCAAAATGCCCTTACCTGTTCAGGCTATGACTGAGACAATGCCTTCCTAGGTTTCTGCAGCACCTGATGCCCTGAGGCTCTTGGCCCTCCCTGCTCCAGAGCTCTTTAAAGGACAGCATTAAGTGTGAATTGTGCTACAAGATACAGATTTCACTGTGAAGAAGGTCCCTCTGTTCCAGGCTAAACAATAACATGTGCTAAATATTCTTTAATCTCTTCTAAAAGTAATCATTCTGTTTTCACACTTCAGCATTCAGTAAGAAAACCTGGTATACCAAGCCACCAGGTATGCCACCTCTTACCATTCCTGTGATAGAATAGATTGTATATTCACAGTACAGACATGTGAAAATTAAACAGCTTTGCATATTCATGTGCCAGAGCATATAGCTGGTTTATGTATATGAGCAGGATACGCGTGTTTGTGTCGCCACCTATGGAAGGGCAACATTGTAACTTGTCATGAAAATTCTGCACAGAAGCCAAAAAAAGGCACAGAGAAGCATGTGTACAGCGCTGTTTAAGAAATAATATCATGGGCTGGATTACTGGTGCTGCATTGGACTAAACTGCATTGCTGCATTCATTTCTGACTTTTTTCTAAAACCACAATACTTGAGACCCTCAGAGTCACTCTAGCAAGGAACTGCTGCACTTAAACAGCTCCTTTGTCTGTATTTCTGCCAGAGAGCTGGCTGTTACCCTCTGGACCCTTTTGGAACAGCTTTTGGAAAAGGTGCTCCCAAAGATGTGCAGGACAAAGCCTCTCACCGTTCTCCCACAAACCCCGGCAGGCACATGCAGGTCAGCTCACTGCCAAGGTCAGTGCAGTTGCCATAGTTGAAACACGTGAGGTTCCTCTCTTCATTCCCACAAACTGTGTAAGGTAATCTTCGATATCTGGGCAAACAAGAAGGCAACAGCAGTTATTGGCACTGTCCTTGTTTCTGGATGTCATGTGCTCTCGCAGCTGGAGCAGAGGAGCAGGGTATTGCTCAAAGGAATGACCGCTGAAACTCAGATTTAAGACTCCCAGGACATGTTTTGCCTAACTTTTTTTAATTTGCTAAATATAATTTTTCTTTTCCAAATATTTACTGGAAAATTAATGATTCATTTCTCATTAGAAAAAAAAAATAAAATGGACATCACTCTACCTTTGTTATTAATGTGGTTCTGTGTGATATGTGGACAGCCTAGTATAAGAGTTCAAAAGAGACAGACTTAACAAACAAAATAAAAAATATTGGGCAACAATAAGACATCTTCAAATCTGAGGAAGTCCTCACTACTCAGAAAAAGTCAACAAAACATGTCAATTTTAGTAATTATATCCTAACAGACTGTAGTTGAGTAGCATGAAGATTATTGTATGTCTGCATCCTTTGGGCTGCAACATACTGGTTTTGTTGGAGTCCTCTGAAGGAAGGAGAAGGATTTTGCCTTCTTGGAGAGGAATTGCACATGCTTAGAGGCAAGAATTTTATGGGTGTGCAGAAAAGGGTAATTAAAGGGAAAAGCTTGCTGCCTTTCTAGAGGAGAGTCTGTGAAGAATAGGAAACAGCATGTGAGCAGTGTCAGAAGCAATTGCAAAAGTGGGCTGTGTGATGTTTGCAGCCACGAGGACTGAGAGTAAGCTGGGAGGAAAAGACCAACCCAAAAAAATTGCTGTGGATGGGAAGAAAAACAACTTTTTTTCCTATTGTTATTTTCTCCTACCAACTCTGAATTCCTGTATTTATAACTCTAGAGCTATATTACTCTAATAAAACATTGTTTTAGAGATTTAAAAACCTTAAGGGTTTTTTTTTTTTCTGAGAAGATGTAGCACATGTATTTTCAGGCTCTGGAAGCCTTATAATCTTGTCATCAGAGAGCTCACAGGACCAATGTTGGCAGCAGAGCAGAGCAGCAGAGCTTGTTCAATCCTTGCCTCATCAGTCTCTACCTGAGCTGGCAGCTCTCCACTGTCTCAGTCCACATCTAATTGATCTGTACAACTTTCTGTACTCTTCATACATCCACTCTGCAGCCATGATTAATATAGAGACAGATGCAAAACATCTGTGTTTAAAACAAAAACATCAGTGGTATAAAAAGCCCTTCAGAAGAGACTTGACAAAATCATGCAAATCAGCCTTGTTTACAGTACCTGCAAAACCTCCCCGTGAAGTTAGCAGCACACAGGCAGGAGTATCCATTAATCCCATCCACACAAGTAGCCCCATTCATGCACTGGTGGCCACGGCAGTCATCTATATCCTCCTCACAGTTCTCCCCAGTGTAACCAGGCTCACAGCTGCACTCATAGGAGGCAGTCCCATCTGTGCAGTTCCCATAGATGCAGGGGTTTGAAGAGCACTCATTGATGTTGACTTCACAGTAGGTGCCAGTCCATCCAGTGGGACATACACAGTGGTAGGAAGTGTACAAGTCTTCACATATGCCCCCATGCATACAAGGGTCAGAGCTGCAGAAATCTACCTGCAAACAGCCTGTAAGAGCAGGGTTTGCAGATATTTTGAGAAATTGTTCCTCTTGAGGTTTTTTAGTAGGTATGTCAGCATTTTCAAAGTATGAGAGATAAATGCCACTGATTTCTATGGTGCTCATGCACCCTCGCAGGCCATCCAGGCTGTCGAAAGCCTTGTCAGCCACATAGATGTCTGTCTCTTCTCTTAAAAAGTTGAGGCTTCCTGCAGCAGCTGTGCTGGTTGCCATGTCTTTCTTGTCTATATCCAAGTGCCATCTGGAGGACTGGGACAGGGGCTCCACCATAGAGACCATCACTTGGTGCCATTTGCCATCACTCACGGGCACTGAACTCACAAGGGTCAGCCTGTAGAAGTTGTTGCCACTTTGTAATTGAAACAGGAGTTTGGAGTTGTGTATACTGATGATGACAAACTCAGGCTCCCTCTCTGCATACAGCAGGATCACATCAGTGTCCCTGGTTCGAAAGCCAAAGACGATATTAGTGAGGTCTCTGCTGATTTTCCCATTGCTTCTGTAAAATATCGCACTGCTCCGGCCACTGAACACTGCGTTAGCAAGACCTGTGCAAAGACAGCAATTGAGAAACTGAACCAGTTTTACACCAATATACGTGGAACAATGTCTCTCCCCAGTGCACATGCCATATAACTGCTTTTGGTTTGCTGAAAGACAGTCAAATTCCACCAGTGTTTCAGTTATCCTGGTCTGCCCCTCATGGCTGTGGAAATTACAGGGCAGTGCCAGCATCAGTCATAATGACATCCAAAGTGTACTCTTTGCATCATCTCAGGTTAGCACTCTAATATACAATTCTACATTACTGTTATCTATTTCAATAAAAGACATACATTTGTTACCTTATGATTGTTTCCTAAATACAGGCAGCTAGCTATTTCCTGTGACAGATCTGGATGAGGTGAACATTTCTTCCCAATTCCTGTTTTCTTAGGTGTGTCTTAAGGTGTTTTATGAAGTATATGATTGGATCCCAGTTTCATCTCAGTGATACAAGAGAATGAATTTAATGGAAGTCAGTTGATGGAAAGCCCCTTGGAAATCCCTGTAAGCAGTTGTGCCTGTCATGTTCAAAGCCAGCTTCTCTTGGTGGGCAGGCACTGCCACAGCCCTGTGCTGGTGGGACTTGGAGGGCAGCAGTACTCAGCTCACACTGCTGTGAGTGAAAATTGATGGGCAATGTTGTGTCAGCTTTATGGACAGCTTTACAAAGGTATTTGACACCTTTTGTTAGCATAGTTTCTACTAAAATACATTTACTCACTGGGCTGTAAATTTAAATGTTCTGAGGCTTCTGAGGATTACAGACAGGGAGGAGGGACAGGAGGGAATGTCTTCTGTCTGTGCTTCAGAAAAAAATAGCTTTGAAAGATCTGACATAAGATGGGTTTCTGAACTATCTCTGGGCTTAGTAAATCTTGTGGAAAAGAACCCTGGGAGTCCCAGTATGAATTTCTTGACTTCATATCCTGATGCCAAGGCAGCAGAGGTGTAACTGCATTTCCTGGTGCATCAAATGTGCTGTCTTTCTCATAGAAAAAGTTTCCTGAGAGGAAATCATACTAAATTAAGTAATGAATCATACTAATACTAAAAGTAAAGTCAGAATTTTCCAAGATTATTCCTGTTCTTTTCAAATATCTCACAAACCTAAATTTTTTTCGCAGAAGACACAAGGCAGAGAACTCACTGCCCAGGATATCTTCTATTTTGTTATCCTGTGTTGAACAAGAGGAAGTTTATCCTGTAGCTAAGAATACAACTAGTTAAAGGTGCAATTCTATAGTGCAGGAATTTTTGAATATCTATTAGGGAAACTCCCTACTGTTGCCACATAAACCAGCACAGAAATGTAAAGGGGATGACCTTGAGTCATTGAAAGTGAACTTGAGTTTATCAGAGGAAGACAGTTCAGGTACTTTTCACTTTACTGTCTCTGGGTGTTTCTGTTCTACCTTAATAAGCAAAGTAAATTTTATGAGAGAATGTATTTTGATGTTATCTTTAAAGACATCTCTGAGAGAAGGAGCAATTATTTTAGCTTCAGTTACAATTTTAAGCCGTCCTGCAATGCTGATCCTAACAATCTGCATAAAAATAGTATCATATTGGTCTGTCTGTGATAGAGATCTTTTGTTGAACAGCCTTCCAATTCCTAAGAGTCAGCCATTCTGACAGCTTCCATCAGACTGAGTGGGTATTTACCTTCTCTCACAGCTTTTTGTTAGGGCTTTCTTTGGTAGCAAAACGAAAAAATATTTCTTAAAAATCCTTACTTGCTCATTTCAATTCCACTCCAGGGCTGGAAGGAGAAGGAAAGTGGAGAAGGAAAGAGATGTGCAGGGTGGCTAATGATTCTAAGACAACTAATGGTCATCAGTGTTCCAATGGACTGCTTGGCATGCACGTGCTTCTTATGAAGGTGCTGCTTGAACAACTGTACTGTAGGTATTGAGGTGACTTTCTCCAAAGATGTTCAAGATTTAAGAAAATCAAGTGATGCAATGTAAGTTATGTAGCTTGTCTTTTCAGGAGGATGGAGAACATTCTAAGGTTAATCCAACACTGAATTAACTCCTATCTCTTTGCAGTGGCAGTGTGGGGGCAATGTACTGATCTATTGAACGACCTTGACTAGCTGGTCCAAGTAAGTCAAAATCAAAGTTTCTGTAAACATCAGTGTCTGAGTCAGGGGGTCTGGGGGAGAACACCTGGGTTTGGTAAGGCAGACTCTTCACATTAACTTTACTTAAAACTGACATAACTATTACTTTAATACAGAAATAACATTTGAATTAACTTTTAGGGCAACAAATACTTCATTTCAAGCAAATGCTGCTGAAAATGTCTATTGCTGCTGATCTCCAAAGATGATTGGAACAGCTGAAATGTACCTACATTCAAATCCTTGGTGCACCAGCTGGCATTGTGCTTCATGAGGACAGGGCCCAAGCTCACACCACTTAACTTCCTCACATGCCTTCCCCTCTGTGTTAGGGGGGCACGTGCAAGTGAAGTCATCCCAGATTGAATAGCACACACCACCGTTGTGACAAGGGTTGGACTATGGGGAGAGAGAAGAGAGAACCTCAGTATGAATCAACTGTTGGGCACTCAACTCTAGGCATGGGGGACTGTTTGGCAAAAATAAATTTTCCTTTTATTTCAGGTGAAAAATGATAAAGACCAGTGTTATGACAGTACAGCATGTTTCATAATTAGTGAAAAACAGTATTTCAATCTCAAAATAGTTTCATTCTCCCCTATGCAAATACATTTTGCTTCTGATATTAATTATATATACCATAGCTTAACAAAACCTGCTCTTTCTAGCATTTTTTTCATGTTAATATAATGTCATTATAATCAAATAATGAGTGGGAACATACTAAAAACATAAACTAAATTCCCCATTATAAGCATGTGAAAATGCTCTGAAAAATGCCATTCTTACCTTGCAGAGGTTGTCACCAGTGCAGCCTTGGGTGACATTGATCAGAGTTCGGTTGGTAGAATTCAGTGGATTGGTGATGGGGAAGAATTCCAGCGGCTGGTTATTCACTCTTACATCTTGGATACAGCCTTTGAAATACCTGCCATTTCTATCAGTTTCTGTGTTATCCGGTAGGCCTCCAATGTAAAGAATATCCTTACTTTGGATGGTTAGTGCTGGAGTAGAAATAAAGCCTAGGTAGTGAGAGGACTGGAACAACTCCATCTTATTTGGTTCTATTTTTAATGTTATTAAGTAAAAGTTTCCATCATTCACGAAGTGTTTCCCTAATAACTTCATGGAATTTAGAGCTAGCATGGTGAGTTTTCCACCTTCCAAATAGACTCTTATGTAGAGGTAAGTACTGTTTCTCAGAGCCAGTAACAAGCCAGAAGATTTGCGTGTTCGGACAAACATTGATATGATGAAGTTCTCATTCTGAATGGAATCAACAGGAAAAGCAGCATAGCCTGAGGAGTCCTCGAATCCAAACCGGCCTGGAATGAACTCTTGAGGTTAGAGATATGGGAAATGAAGAAAAGAAAAAAAAGATAGAGAGAGAGAGAGAGAGAGAGAGAGAGAGAGAGAGAAGGGAGAAAAATAAGATAGTTAGGGCTAAATGACAAGGGATCCAATGCAATGATTAAATAACTACTTCTGGTGATGTTTCTGTATGGTAGTAAGATGTGCTTTTTTTTATGGATGAATAAAGACTTGATCCAACTGTAAATATCTTCTGTTCCAAAATTCCTGTTGGCTTTCATGGTTGTAGCATTATGACCCAGTGCAGGACCAGATGTTATATAATTGGGCACATTTTTCCTCTTTATACCCTCTTTTATCCTCTATAATGCTGTGTTTCCAAGTAGTTAAACAAGGACAGATTTCTACAGTTTCCTGCACAGAAAGATCATTTTGGAAAGAATCTACCTGCTTTGATCCTCTGATGACCATGGAAGCTAATGCAGTTCTGGGATTTTGTGGTATTTTTTGCACAGATTCCAATCACAGAAAGCTGCTGGGCAAAGCCCTCTTGTGTGAATAGGTGACGTGTGTGGTGCTGCATGGACTCCCCAGTTCTCTGACAGACTTTTCCTTGCTGGGGCTCAACATATGCTCACCTACATCAACTTGTATCCAGTCATGAACCCTACTCAGTCCCTAAATGCCCACAGTGCTCTGGGAGAAACATGATCCAGGATCAAGTAAGTTTTTTTTCCTTGTGCTTATCAATTAAAATGATTAAATCAAAACCATCTGTCTGTCCTTTATCCTTTATTTTTGGTAATGATTTTCAGTCTTTAAAGGATACAAAATATGTAGCTGAAACTTATTCTGATGAATCATCTCTTTAAAGAACAACAAAATGTTTCTATTTTTACACTATAAGTTATGTGATCTTGTCCTCAATATTACAGACTTCCTGCCTAAACAGTTTCAGGAGCTATTTTTCATATATCAAATTCCTAGAAAGAATAAACCAAGCTTTTTTTAAATGCTCACATAGCTAGATTCAATCATCTGTTATGCAGTAAAACTCCTGGAGCAGGATGTCATAGGCCAACTTCCTGCCTGCAGAACTACCTTTTTTTATGACTGCATTTAAAAAACGATGAAAATAGGGGACTGACCATGAAGCCCCCAGAGACCCTTAATAACCATACTGCACTGCTATGTGGTATGGTTGTATTATTTAGCAACAGGAATAAATCCCATACTTGTTCCTAAACAGACAATTTCTTAATTTAATTTGAAATAGTTTATTTCTATGAATAAGATTTCCTATATGTCTACATCTACTTGTTAAGCAGACTTAATGCCTCAAAACACCAATTTCAACAATTGTTTCTGCATACAAGAGTTTTAAATTATATCTTCTCTTAAGGTGGTAATGGAGACTGAGACACTTTTTTCATGAGGGTAAAAAGAAAAATTCTGCTGAACTGAGGATTCCACAACTGCAGTATTAGAAAGAAGCCTTGATCTCCAGAAAGGCATTTCATGTTTACAATTGCCTTGTCACATTTCTCTCTACTTATAAATACGCACATATATCATCATCTGTTTGATGAGATGACTAGCATCACCTTAGTCAATATTAACCTCTTGGATCACATCTGGATGTTGATCAAAATGAGGCAACATCTGTTTGTTATTTTGTATATGTAGAGAAAGTATTGCCTCTTGTCAATTAAATACTTGGCAGCAACTTTTCTTCAGAAAGACACCAGCATTTCTTACGTTATCCCTTACCACAAGTCTCCTCCACTCTGCCTCTTTAGAAACCTGGCACAGTCTTTTACATGTGACATATGTCTAGAACCTATCTACCAAAATGGCATGGTGCCATGGTTAGCAAGGAATATTGTGGTCAGCAGGAAAAAAAAAGCATGCCTTCTAATCATTCTCAACAGTTCTAATGCCAGTATAAGCTGCTCCTGGCCCTGAATGGTTTTAATTTTGCTTCATGTAAGGAGGCAAACATATTTCCCAGATGTTGTCCTATATTCAAAAGTTGTCTTCCAAATCTTTGGATAAATTACAGCTACACTTCAAAGAAGTCTGTTACAATTACTTCTCAGACTGTCATTTTGCAACCAAACCAAAAGGAAAAACTATTGAAAGGTATTGATAAGTATTAGGTAGAGCATACAAAATGAATTTGTATTCAAACATTTGAAATGTATTTGAAGGCCCAGCTTTCTGCAGCAATACGTTCAATAATCCCTGAGGCCAGTTTTTCAGCTGATGTGAATCATTGTAGCTTCACTGGCAGCAGTACAGCCACGCCAGCTTACACCAGTTTAGGATCTGTCAATTCCAATGTGACCATGGCTCTGTTGTTCTGTTTAATTTTTTCCAGTCCACCTGGCAAATTTATCTACATAAATATATTTATGTATGTATGTATGTATGTATATATTTCTTGCTCCCTAAACATTGCTCTGCTGACCACGTGTGGATGAGGCAGAGGCAAGGGCATGGCATGAAGACTTATTCTTCTTATTATGAAGTCCTGTGCAATTTTTCTTAAACAAAACTGCTTCTTTGAAATCCCTAAAACTTTGCCTGGGGAAGGATTGCAGAGCTCACCCTAAAGCATTCCTGAGGGCTGCTGTATTTACAGCTCTAGGGGGCTTCACCTAGCAGATGCAGCAGGGTGCTGGACAGGGACCTCCTGTTGCCCCACTTTGCCCCAGCCTGCACTGCAAAGATCACTTGCAACAGGGAAAGTGCTGCAGGCATCTGCAGCTTTTGTGTTCCTGCTCAGCACTGCCATGGAAGCTGCTTGCTGAGATGAGCTCTTCTGCTCGCCCTGAACGGGACGCGTTTCCCTCTGGTCCCCATGCAGCTCTTTGGGAGCAGCAGCCTGCATTGGGGATTGTCCAGCCTTGCCTTGGGACCAGCTGAGGGATGAATGGACCCTATTTCCAGCTGCTGAAGTCCTGCCTGCTGCTTGGGCTAATCAGATTGAGCTAAGAGTATGATCTCATTCATTCTTTTTAAAATTGAAATCTATCTTTTTTTAACTTGCAGTACTTTTGCTTGAATCTCTTTAAAAAAAGCCTAGAGTGCTCAAGGATAAAATTTTCAAAGAATGCTTTGAAAATAAGTCCTAAACTCCAAATGACTTGCTTGCTTTCTAAATTTTTACTCAGCATGGATAACCTACAGTTTTTCAAAGTTTCAAAGTGCTAAAAGCACTGAGATTTTAAAACAAGAGGAGTGGAATCCACTAGTTTAGCACAACTTATTTTTGTCAGGCTGAAAAGAAGCCTTCCTGGGAAACTAACTAGAAAATAAGAAAGATGTGCCACTACTAACCTCTTGTACTGGCTTACCACTTGACATTAAGCTCCAGAGATCCTAAGGGTCACATTGTTTCACAGCCAGGTAAACAGGATTGTTTATGGTCATGTTTTCAGCAGGCACATAAACCACAAGTGACAGCAGCATTCCCTTACCTGTTGCACAGCCTGGCCCTGTGTAGGGCCGGTAGCAGTCACAGTGGTAGCTCAGCCACAGGTTGATGCAGCGTCCCCTGTTCTGGCACGGGTGGGGAACACACCAGTCCTTTTTAGCACATCCTGTCCTGACATTTAAAGATGACCCAGATGATACATTCTCTGGAGTAATAACATTCAAGTCTATCTCAATATCCTGAAGACAGCCTACAAATGAAGGTGCAGAATGTGTATTAAACGTGTTCTGTAGAGAGTTGCTGTTCCCCACTGGTAAGCCGCCCAAAAACGTGCTCTGAAATGCAAACATCACCAGCTCGTTATCTATCTTAGCAGATGTTTTATTGAGACAGGATTCGACACAAGAGCTGTCAAGCAAATTAAGAATAACAGCTCTTGCCAAGGTTACCTCCACTGAATGCCATTCTCCATCACTGACATTATGTGGAATATGCAAAAGAGCCTGTGGCTGATTATTGACTTGCACGGATAACTGTAAGTAGCCATTCAGTACTTCCAACTTTGCAAAGGTGTTTTTCTCCCCTCGTTGAAACAGAAAAGCTGTGGGTTGCACAGTTTGAAACCTCAGGTTTATATTATAGAAAAAATCCTTTTTATGGGTCTGGGGATTCTGCAACAAAAGGAAACTGTTTCCTTGAAAAGAAAATGTGGTTACAGTTTCACAGTGTATTCCAGTATACCCAGGTGAGCATATGCAGCTGAATCCGTGTTGGCCATTTTTTAAATGTGGGATACATATTCCATTGTTTTGGCATTGATGATCAGTACAGCCATGCAGAACTTCTGTACAGTTCCAGCCACCATAAAAAATCCCTTCTTTGTCTGCAGGTGGGCAATGGCAAGTGTAATTTCCAGGAAAATTCTCACAGATCCCACCATTTTGGCAAGGGTTTGTGTAACATTCGTTGACATCTTCATCACAGTGAGTACCTGAAGAATAAACAAAGAATTAGGCATTCTGGTTTGAATAACTGGAGCCCAAAAGAACACTTTTAATAATGCATTTTATTAAATTATCTTTTATTAGAGGGGAATGCCTTAATAAATAGGTGATGGACAAGCAAAAAAAAAAACTTTAAATATAGAAAGGCCATTCAATTGTTGTGGTTTCCTTGTGCAAAGTATTATGTAAACACCTAAGTGATAACCACATTTTGGAGAAAAGAGCCAAACAAATGGACAGTTTTGATATGGATAATGTGATGAAATTAAGACAAACGTCATCAGATGGATCAAGAAATTGTTTCTCACATATCCTGTGGTAGGAATTTAGAATGCTTTGTAAGGAACTGAATTGTTTATCACATACAAAAACCCCAAGAGTTGTTGCTTAATTCCTAACCTTAATATAGTACAGGAACAAGCTGGAGTATGATCTGTTGGTCATTCCTTTTTTTTGTGTTCATTCAAAGAGTGTAAGAACTACAGACTATTATTCCTGGTCCCATATGAAACATCATGGAGCAACACTCTTCAAGTGAGAGCCACAAGACTTGCAAGTGATATCTGACATGGTGGGTCAGACTAACGAGTGGGTGAACATGCCTGTAAAATGTATGTACTACAGGAGAATTTTTTTACCTCTCCTCAATACAAAATATAAAGCAAGAAAAGATGAAAGGAATATTCTCTCAAACATTTCAGAGATTGTTTGGTGATGAGAGCACTTCTACAGGAGATTATCAACATAGTCTCATATTTCCTCTTCTTTCATATAATGCTTGGCTTCTCATATGTCTGGTAAAAGGAGAACTCATCTCAACTCCACTGTAAATGGATAGATGTGGTCTAAGTGGGTCTGCTGGATCACACTTCACAAAGAAAAACAAATCTGTTCCTCTTGTAAAACTAATCTGTTTATCCCTCTGCACTGTTGTTCATCTATAAAGTGGTAATTACAATAACTTCTCCCTTGAGCAATCAAGTGACTGATATGCATGCAGTGGGTCAGGGCAAATCTGTTTCTCATCTCCTTGGAAGCAGTCAAAATACCCAAATACTTTTTTGATAACTCATGCTAAATGCAACTGTTAACATTTCTACTTCCTTTCATAGTTGTCTTTAGAGAAAAATGAGGAACACTTCACAGTTAGTTTTCAAACTAGTATCACCAGCACAAATTAAATAGATTTCATCCATCCCCATAGCAAAACTGCTGCCTGTAAATCAGGTAATGAGATGTTCTGAGGCTCATGGAGTGGCATCTGGGTATACCAGGTACCACACCTAGCTTTATGTACAAATTCACATCAGTCTTTATGTCTTTTCTTCTTTTTATGTGTTTTAACAAAGCACAGCCATTCCTCATGGAAAATTACAGAGCAGCATTCAGCCACAATGAATTGCTTCAAATAGCAGTAGATAAGTGTAGTTACTCAGGCTAATTCCTTGCCGGCCCACTTTATTCAATCACAGTTGTAACTGGACCCATCTGAGAGAGTGGTGAGTACAGGAGAGCCAGGAGGGAAGATTAGCACAAACACAAATATAAGTCACACCAAAAGATAAATAATAAGTCACTTTTTTCATATCAAGAATAAATAAATCAGCTGTTCTTGCAAGTGGTGTTGATACTGCTTGTAATCTGCTGATTGCCAGGCAAGCAAAGACCACTGTCAGTCAAGATAAAAGCACTCTAGATAAAAGGATTAGTCAATATTTATAGAACTGTATAAGCAGTTCAAATAGCTCAGGTTGGAGATGTTAGCATGTAAAAAGAATATTCTTAAAAGATGTAAGACATACCTGAACAAGTGCAAAGGCAACTATTTTTTTCCATTAGTTACATGCATTATCTCAGCTAAGCATACTTGTGTTTTTAAGGGAAAAAGGAAAGTAGAATTACACAGCATTTTCTCTTCTAAATATATTACACACTGACATTAAATTTCATGTGAATGTGAATATTTTTAAAGATGATTACTTTTCCCACCTGTGAAGCTTTTTTTCAAAACAGAGATTAAACAGTTCCTTTGAGTTAGTTTGATAGCACCACTCATCTGTCTCCTTTTTTCACTTACACCTTATTACTATATGGTGGCTATTTTCTGTTAACCCTGAATTAAACTCTCTTTCAAATTTAGCAGCAAAGGTTTCCTGCAGAAGCAGGATGACAAAAGCAATTATTCAATCATAATTCTACTGAATGCCACTGATTTTCATTTTGACTAAACAATTATAAAAGTATTATCTAAATGACACTTTTGATAAACATCTTAGGTTAGAAATGTGCTTACAGCCTTTTACCTTTCCAGTCCCCTGACACTAAATAAATATCAAGAAATTACAAACAAGCAATCTGGATAGGTGCTACACATTCAATACAGTCTAAGTGCACATTCAAATTCACAAAAAGAAAATATTTACCTGTAAACATTGTCATTAAAATGATGTAAACTTGTATCCTAATTGCAACCATCTTTTTCCGCAGGAAAATTTCCAAAGAAAAAAATTGTTTAGCACTTAAGCAGTCGACAGAGTAAATTCCTGTAAAATTCACAACAGTTCTTAGTATAAAGGTTTCCTTTCCAGGACTAGCTTGCTCCACTTCTGTACCTGCTGATGTAGTCTGATGGTGTATTTTGCCCAAGCCAGATCAACAAGGCTTAAAGTAAGACCCATTAAACTGCTTACACAATAGATATGTATCCTATTTAAATTCTTTTTTCTCCAAATTCATGCTCACACTGAACATTGTTTGTGTTTCACAGAAATACATATTATTAGGATCCATTCAAAACTGATTGGTCACTTTTTTTTTGCTTGTTTTGCAAGGTCTTGTTTTTTAAGACTTTTTTCCTTTCAAGAGGTTTGTTAATCCAGATCAACACTGTCATGGTCACTGTCATTCATAGAAACTGTACATCTCAAAGGGCAGATAGAAAGGATCTAAAATTCGATCCTATTTCTTTATTTATAAAGTATTTTTGTTCCATTTGCTCTCTCTACTTAATGGAAGTCTGTGTCTCTAGATTTTTGAGTGTGATAAAGACATGTAAAAAATTATTTACTAAAACATTTTTTTCCCTCAGCTCTTGAGCACCACATTTTGATTTAGACCAAATTTAATGAAGGGAAAATAGAGTTTAGGAGATTTAACTACTTATTTCTGTTATAATTTTAGCAGCAGACATTATTTTTGGCACTTACATTAATCAATTTGTTCTTCTACCTCAACTCATTTTTTCACTAATTAGGAAATTCCTGACCTTTTGTCACATTTCAGTTTAGGTTCACCAAAAGACTCATACACAGAACACAATTTTGAATTAATTTAATCTACAGTTCACAATCGCTTTTGTGGAGATGCTCAGTAAGCTGCTGCTTCTTCCAGTCTCTGACACAGGCATCAAGTGAATTTTCCTATAATACATTTAAATATTAAAGGGTAAAAATTTCACCCAGACTCTTGGAAAGGTGAGTAAGGCAGCTTTAAACAAAATAAACTTCATTTTGATAAGTTAGTGTGAATGCACTTAATTAGTAGTGCTTATCAGACATCTTGTGCTGCAGTTTGATGTTGAATGTGCACTTTATTTTGAATATTGCAAGAAGTTGGAGGTTCTCAGTAACTGTTATTCCTTTTGCAGTGTGACTGTGACAATAGGACTCTGAGGGAAGGTTATGAGCTGACACAGAGTCAACAGCTGGGGACAGACCTCTGCTCTTACAGGTCAGTGACAACATGGGGCTGCACACTGAGACAGGGGAACTTCTGAGCAGTGTACTCAGCAAACAGCCCAAAACTGTGCCAGAACCACTGGTGGGAGTTTGAACAAACTTGCCAGGTGCAGACACTAATTATAGTCAGATATTGCATTTAATAACATTTTCATATACAAACCAAGGAGAATACTCCATGTGAAACCACCGCAACGCAGGCAAAAAACTTGTGTAATCCTACCCAGAAAGTAATTGTCAGAGGTTCCCTGTCAAACTGGGATTTGATCATGGTTTGGGATTGTCCTGGCTTTGCTCTGGTTGGTGTTTTCATAAAATATGTGGATGTTGGCTCAGAAAACTTGCCTAGTAAGTTGTCTGATAAAGCAGGGTTAAGTGAAACCTTTGATTTTTTTTTACAGATAAAATGACTTTTATAGGTGAACATAAGAAATTGGAGAAATGGTCTGAAAAAGATTGTATTCAATTCTGGAAGAGCTCACTCAGTTTCTGTAGTCTCAGGCGGAATAACCAGCAATCAGGTGGAACAATAGTTTCAGTCTACAAGTGCTTCAGTTTCACTGAGTCCACTTTTAGTTCTGCACTGTAACGAAGATTTGGATCAATTAGGAAGAATTCAAGGAAAGCAATGAGAATGACCACAGGTGGAGGAAAAAATGGCTTATGAGAAAAGGTTAAAAAAACTAGGGCCATTCAGTCAAAAGACAAGCAGAGGAAATGGGATGTGGTAAGAGTTTTTCAGCCCTGAGACCACAGTAAACTGGTGAAAAAGTCACAGGTTTGGCCTGCACAAGGAACATCCAGGTCACACTCTAAGAAAATATTTCTAGGGATAATAAGATGACAAAGCCTTTGCATAATGTATCTACTGGGAGCCATAAACTCCATTGTGGATCTTTAAATATTGGTTTCTTATTCTTGTAGTTTTGTTAATAAATTTTCTTTAAACCTTTTAAGTTTTAAGCCTGTTTTGCCCTTCTCCTAATCCATATCTCACAGCAAGAAATGAGTAAGTTTTCTAGTGATTTTTTAGCTAATGCTTTAAAACCACTACATTATTTAGTGCATTGGCCGGGAAAGACAGAATAGTGTTTTCTGCCTAGTGTTTGAACTGAAGCTGTGAGATAAGGATTAATTAAGAGAAATAAGAGAAAAGCATGATTAAGTCCTAAGTTTATATAGCAGTAATGGTAAAAATCTAGGGGTGGAGGGTACTGAATTTTTTGTTTCTTCCTTTCTGTCAGTTTAGT